TACTGGCACTCTACCCTCTTCTCGCTGGTGAGTGCCCGGGGGTGGGGAACGGCGGCTCCGGCCGCGGCTTAAACGGGCGCTCCGCCGCACGGCAAGTTTGCCGGTTGGGTGCAGCTGCCAGGGGCTTTATAGTCAGGGCCCGTGGGGCTGCTCCTCCGCTGGCCCCTCCCCCGGCCCGGCTCCCCGTGTTTATTTTGCTCTTTAACGTGGTTTGCTGCGGGTGTGTGTATTGCTCTCACGGCTGCGCTCCTCCGAATAGGAGAGCGTAGAGGCAACGGATCGTGTGTCCCCTGCATGTGCGACCATCTTCTCCGGTAAACAGTCTTTTCTCCCCGCCTCCCTTGGCACTCCGTGCCCTGTGTGCTTTGTGCCTACCGAACTGTGAGGTTTTTCTCTCCTTTCACAATGACAAACGCCATTTCAGCAGCAGCGGACAGTCATGTAGTGTGATTGTCTGTCGGAGTTACGCTCTGGGCTCTTGTGACTACATGTCAGCTGTTGTTACGGCACGGTCTCCTCTTTGCGTAGATCGTGCCTGGGGCAAGAGATAACACCCCCTCCCCCCAAGCCTTTTAGTTTTTTCTTCTCTGAAGGAAAACAGTGGCTGACAATGTAGTATGCTGGATAGCTTCTTTGCATAGATGCTGTCTACCCATCTTACTGGTAATTGACAACTTCCTACTCGTATTGTGTGGTTTAATGTTGCAGAAATTATGGTATCGGTTTTGGCTAGCTACAGATCTGTAATTTAAATTTAAAACAAGAAAAGAACTTGTTTCTGTGTAAGGGCAAAGTCATTTGGAGATACCGTGCTTTATTTCACCTGACATATATAGGAACATTATCCTTTCTGGCTGGGCGACAGCTGAGTGAGCGAGAGGACTGTTTGATCATCAGGAGCCTTCTAGTGCTACCAGGGATAGTGTCAGAGGGAAGGAGGGACTTTTTTCAGTGCATGGTGTGGTATAGTTGAAACAAAAACTTGTAATGCAAGTTTGGGGATAGTGTGTGTGAAAGATTTGTGGTAGATACCCCCTCCCCGCATCAGAGCTCTGCCAGAAGTGGAGGTGGGTGCATATGTTGTTCTCTTTCTAATAGGAAGAGACTGTTGTTAGCTCTCTTACAGGAATTTAGGGGAAGAAAAAAAGAAAATTAACTAAAAATGCAAATGATCAAGCTCTTTGTTTTAGGTTTTTTCCTTTTTATTGCTCTATGTTCATTATTTTACCTCTTCTTTTTTTTTTTTAATGTACCTATGTTTGGTTTTTATTTTGCTCATACCTATTAAGAATCAGGGACAAGAGCCGTAGTCACTTATGCTGCTAGGAAACTGATCCTGAGATTCTTCCGTGAAAATAAGTGCAGTTCTTACTTTGGCTTTGTGTTGAACTGTTAGGTTATATAAGTCTGTATCTATGCTTCTGTTTGATGACACTTTCTGATATTTATAAATATATAGCAGTTCTATATGTATCGAGATGCAGGAATTGTTATGGTGATTTTGAATACACTGCTCTTACCCAATAAGAAAAAGAAAACAGCAAGCATGAGGGAGACAAGTGTATCTGATGGTAAGAGCAAGGTAGTGAACGGTTTGTCCTTTACGGAAAGAGAGTTATGAAGTCCCCCTTTATTAATGGAGAATTGAGTAGCGTGTTTTCGAGCAGCGTAACTTTTCATGTAGCTGCAATCTGAAAATCTGCCCCTGGTAAAAATAATTGTTGGCGTGCGATTAGCATAAATTATAAAGTGAAGTTATTTCATAGTTATTGTGGTTTGGTCTCTCTTTATTCCACCTTACTAGAGTAAGGAAATATTAAATTTTAAATGGGCGTGTAATATCATTGAAATAAGTTTAGCAAAATTCTTTTGCAAGTGGGTTTAATAATAACGAGTTTAATGTGCAGCCCTTTCATCTCCTGTGTAATTTTGTGGGAGCTATCCTTACCTGTAATGTGGTGCTATGTGTGAAACTGTAATGTTTTTATTATTTTCTGGCTCTACTTGCAAAAAAAAATTCCAATAAAGTAGTATTATTTTAATATAGCATATATACAAACACACAGTAACTATTAGGGTGATTTATTTTAAATTACATTAGTATTTGTTAGGATTTATGTATCAGTGAAAGATACTGAGTAAGGAAGTACTGACTGGAAATACATGGCCAACACCACTGACCCTTTAACCTCAAATTGTCATACTCATTTAAAAATTTATGAAGTGTTAAAGCTACAGTAGTCTGGGTTACTAATTGGAGAAACTTTTGCTAATCATTTACTTTTTCAGTGCAACACAACAAAAACAAGCACAAACTCAATCAACTGTTGTTGTGAATTCATTAATTCTTTAGGAGTGAAGTGGATTACAAATCTCTTTTTAAACTGATTCTGCTGCTAGAAGTTGACAGTTAACTTTTTTTTATCGCAGGCTTTGTTATGGGTGTGAATCAAAAAGAAATGTTCTTGACTGGAGAATTACAGTTCTGAAATAGTCATAATCTACTGTGATTCTGTTTGGTTATGTTCAAATAATATTTCTTCCCACAAACATTTGTTTTGTTTAAGAAGGAACGGTATCTCCCCACCCCAGAGAAGCCAGAGCTCTGTGGTGAGTCTGGTTGCTGTAGTGGATTCCGGTTGGTTTAACAGTTCATGATTTCTAGCTTAGTTTTCTGTTGACTGTAGACAGTCTGTAGAGAGGGGTTAGGTACCACTGTTTCTTCTGAATCTTTTTACGGAAAATATTTTCTAAAAGCTTTTAGTAACTGATTCTCTTTTATCAGCGATGTCCAGAAAGTATAGAGGTCCTTAGTGTTCTTAGCTCAAAATACTTCACGTGAGGGGAGGGCACAGTCTTAAGTTAAGGTTTTAAAGTTAGCTTTGAATGTCCAGATGCTGAGTGTGATCTCAGGCTTGCATAGTTGGGTTTCATGAAGTGTCCCTCTGGACTTAGTGACGCAAAGGTCTGTTGTCTGTTGCTCTATAATGAAGCAGGAATCCAGTGCCGTTCTAGAAAATGGGTTAATGTTTGTATGCTCTGTCAGGCAAAAAAAAGCCACAAACAACCTACGCAAAGAAATCTAGAATTTTACTCTAAATGTAAAGCATTTCTTAGGAAGATGATATAAGGGCCAGTTTGCATATTTGTCATCAGAATACACCTCGGATATAAACTTGTTTATACTGGCATACACATCAGATTAATAGGCTTGCTCATTAAAAATACACTTTCTGTCTGAAATGGCTATGTTTCCAATGCAGCAGTAGAAGAAATTATATTTATCCTAACTCTGTTTTTACAGTA